CACTTGCATTCTGTTGTTCGTGTTGTTCGTGCTGTCTCTACCATCGACAATAAAACATGTCTTCTGTCTGAATGAAAGACACGATCCCAGACTTGGCTCATCTTCTTCATTTGTATTATTATTGTTATTACTAAGGACTTGCTGCCATTTCCTATATTATCAGCTTTTTAGAATGATCAATTTGTGTTTATTTTCTATTTTTGCTGCTACTGGACACCTACATTTCTCCTACAGGGATCAAAAAAGTATCTGTCTATCTATCTATCTTTCCATCCATCTATCCATCTATTCCCAGTAAAACTTATTCCACTGTGGTTTTGCTGTAAATGACCTGCGTCTCTCTCTCACCTCTCCTCCTTCATCTGCGATGGTTAATTGTATATTCAGATTCAGATTCAGATTCATTTATTTCGCCATTTGCAGTATGTATACACCACATTGGAATACATTTGCAAAAGCTCCCCGTGTGCACAGGACAAGTACAGACACAAAATAACATTAAAAGACAAAAATAAAACAAATTTTAAAAACAGTAAACAAATGTCACAACAAATGTCATCGTGAAGTTGACCAACTTAAAACAGATCTATACGAGTGCAAAACATTAAAGTGCTCTATTCAAACTATTCCTCGGTGCGTCCGGACCGTGGCGCCCACATGGTCCCTGTTACAGCCGCGGTGCTCGTGTTTACAACTTGTTACAGAGGAACATTTGCCGCTCGGACTCGTTTCTAGGCAACTCTGAGCACACGGCGTCCTCCACCTGCGTCTCTGATCGCTCTCTGCAGCAGCCATTTCAGGTCTGCGGCTACAGCCTGGAACATGAGAGTATTATGGGAGTAATATGGAGTAGTATGGAAGTATTATGGGAGTATTATGGGAGTATTATGGAGTATTATGGAGTATTATGGAGTATTAGGGGAGTATTATGGGAGTATTATGGAGTATTATGGGAGTATTATGAGAGTATTATGGGAGTATTATGGGAGTATTATGGAGTATTATGGAGTATTATGGGAGTATTATGGAGTATTATGGAGTATTATGGGAGTATTATGGAGTATTATGGGAGTATTATGGAGTATTATGGAAGTATTATGGTGTATTATGGAGTATTATGGAGTATTATGGGAGTATTATGGAGTATTATGGAGTATTATGGAGTATTATGGGAGTATTATGGGAGCATTATGGAGTATTATGGAGTATTATGGAGTATTATGGAGTATTATGGGAGTATTATGGAGTATTATGGAGTATTATGGAGTATTATGGAGTATTATGGAGTATTATGGAGTATTATGGAGTATTATGGGAGTATTATGGAGTATTATGGAGTATTATGAGAGTATTATGGAGTATTATGGGAGTATTATGGAGTATTATGGGAGTATTATGGAGTATTATGGAGTATTATGGGAGTATTATGGAGTATTATGGGAGTATTATGGAGTATTATGGGAGTATTATGGAGTATTATGGGAGTATTATGGGAGTATTATGGAGTATTATGGAGTATTATGGGAGCATTATGGAGTATTATGGGAGTATTATGAGAGTATTATGGAATATTATGGGAGTATTATGGGAGTATTATGGAGTATTATGGGAGTATTATGGAGTATTATGGAATATTATGGGAGTATTATGGAGTATTATGCAGTATTATGCAGTATTATGTAGTATTATGGAGTATTATGAGAGTATTATGGAGTATCATGGGAGTATTATGAGAGTATTATGGAATATTATGGGAGTATTATGGAGTATTATGGGAGTATTATGAGAGTATTATGGAATATTATGGGAGTACTATGGAGTATAATGGGAGTATTATGGAGTATTATGAAGTATTATGGAGTATTATGGGAGTGTTATGGGAGTATTATGGAGTATTATGAGAGTATTATGGGAGTATTATGGAGTATTATGAGAGCATTATGGAGTATTATGTAGTATTATGGAGTATTATGAGAGTATTATGGAGTATCATGGGAGTGTTATGGAGTATTATGAGAATATTATGGAGTATTATGGGAGTATTATGAAGTATTATGGAGTATTATGGGAGTATTATGAGAGTATTATGGAGTATTATGGAGTATTATGCAGTATTATGTAGTATTATGGAGTATTATAAGAGTATTATGGAGTATCATGGGAGTGTTATGGAGTATTATGAGAATATTATGGAGTATTATGGAGTATTCTGGGAGTATTATGGAGTATTATGGAGTATTATGGGAGTATTATGGAGTATTATGAGAGTATTATGGAGTATTATGAGAGTAGTATGAGAGTATTATGGAGTATTATGGAGTATTATGCAGTATTATGTAGCATTATGGAGTATTATGAGAGTATTATGGAGTATCATGGGAGTGTTATGAGAGTATTATGGAGTATTATGGCTCAAATGTGTTTGTTATTAAAGCATTTCCTGTGTGTGAAAACTCTCTGCTCTGATTGGACAGTACAGTCTGGACGATGCTGTGGTTTGGGCCAAACACAAAAACATGGATTTGAATTCAACACAAAGATTTCTGGGCGACAGTAGCTCAGTGGGCGACAGTAGCTCAGTTGGTAGAGCATTGGCCTTTGAGGCTGAAGGTCGTGGGTTCGAGCCCACCGCAAGACCTACTTCACGACTCCCACTGATGACTGCTGCCGTTGTGTCCTTGGGCAAGACACTTAATCCCACTTTGCCTGAAGCTCCCACTGAAAGATCTCAGCTCCTGTGGACTCACCACCTGCAGGAGGATCAGTGAGGGGCTGGTGCTCTGTGACTGGGTGCAGCTCTGACTGACACCCCCCCGACCCAGAAATGGATTAAGGGGAAGAAAATGGATGGATGGATGGATGGACAAAGATTTCTGAAAACCTCTTCCATCTTTAACTTCTTGGGCAGCTTCTTTTCCTCTACGTCACCTCCAACCTCTGACTTCCTTCTCTCTCTCTTTTCTCTCATCACCTGTCGCCTCAGTCTGACACTCTTCCATCTCTCCCTCTCTCCGTTCGTCATTTCACCCATTTCCTCGTCGTTTTAATGTCCGCGGCGCCGCAGCCTAGCAACAGTTGTGCAGCGAAGACGCTAGCTCCTCTCTCTCTCTGTCTCTCTGTCTCTCTCTCTGTATCTCTCTCTGTCTCTCTCTTTCTCTCTCTCTCATCCTTTTTTCCCGGAGTATTGCTGCTTCTCTCCCAGTTTTCGCTCCATGCATCACAGTCATCAGCGGCCATTAGCGCCGGCGTCTGTGGTGGGTGGTCTGTCACTTAGCCCAGATTGGAGGAGAAAGGGGGGGGGGAGAGGTGCATGATGGGTGATTAGCGGTGGATTGATAAGGCTCTATATCGGGACCATCTCTGCGGTCTCTGGGCACGTGCCACAGGCGCCAGAACTCACCGCGTGGAGCTAATCTCACTGGTAAAGTACCATGTGGAGCTAATCTCACTGGTAAAGTACCATGTGGAGCTAATCTCACTGGTAAAGTACCATGTGGCGCAGAACTAAAAAAGGTCTCGTTATGATTCTCAAATCATTAACGACAAAACAAGGAATAAATCCAGGATTTCTATCTTTGTGAAAAAGGTGTTGGTTATAGATTTGTTGTTGACAAAACTCTTGTCTATTCAGCTGTTATGGTCCCAGCTGGATTCGTCTGCATATCTGGCAACCTGAGTCAGGGAGAGTGGGAGAGGCTGCAGTACCACTGTTGGCCACACGTTTACACACTGCTGCTTTAAGAGTGTCAATCCAGACGGTTACCATAGTTACTGTGGATGTTTGTTCATGGTTTTATGCAGTTTCCAGTACGGTACCAGGGTCAGAGCATGGCACCAGTGAGTGAGACAATTGTGTATTTTTTATGTTCTTTCCGTGTCTGAGTTTTTCCCCAGAGCTAAACCTCAGGAGCTGGTCCGTGGGTGTTCCTCCGACAGGTTTTCCCAGAGGAAGAAGAAAACTGTGTAAAAGCAGGAGAAAGAATAAAATATGACTTAACCTTAGACGCACTGAGAAGGGGCTGGCCTGGGGCTGGCCTGGGGCTGGTCTAGGGCTGGGGCTGGTGCCGGAAATGGAACCAAATCCCAATCCCAAATTCTGTTTTTTGATATAAACGGTCATTCTTCAGGTCCTGCTCATAAATTATATTCTAAACTTGATTAATTTTAGTATATAGTTTTAGAAGAATATAGAACACATGTTGATAAATGTCATAAGTGATCAAAAGGTGCTTAGTCAGGGCTCCAGAGCTCATATTTTGATTAAAACCACAGAATAATAAATACAGAACATGCCTCTGACTCAGTTAAACCAGTTATTTCCTCAGACTGTGGGATTGTCTGCAGTTTAGTGGATGTAGATGTGAAACAGTATCATTCTAACTGTTGTAAAATGGACAGACAGAGCGTTCTAATCTATAAAACTTGCCCCAAACATGTGTTGTGTGTGTGTAATGTGGGCCGTGGAGAGCCCTGGGAGGCGGTGGAGGTAGAATAAGGCCCACATTAACCCATAACAGCTGCCTCTCTGTGCTTTACGTGCTCATCTCTCAACAACCACTGCTTGTGTCTGTTTTTGGCATTGCATCGCTCTCTCTCTCCTCTCTCGCTCGCCTCCTTCTCTATTAAATTTCCAGTCACACAGCAGTGCAGTGGATATGCCTCCCTCCCCCCCCCCCCCCCCCCCTCCTCTCTCGCTCCTTCCGCACACCTCAATAGTCTGTTGTCATCTTCCCTATAGCCACATTTCTGCATCAGGCGTCTTATAAAAATCTGCCGTTTCTCTCTCTCTCTCTCTCTCTCTCTCTCAGACCAATCTCCTAAACCTGAATATTTCTGTTATTCCCAGGACAGACCCCTTGCCCCCCTCTCCCCCCTCCCTCTTCCCCAGATGCCTGGCTCTGATCCTGGGTACCGCAGTGTTCGTAGCCCCCTCGGTTTGTTGGCGTGTTGTGGTCATCAGGCGTTAGCGGCGATGGAGCGCAGAGCGGAAGAGCGGAAGAGAGGGTTGTGTTTAGACCGGAGAGGGTAAAGGTTTGATGGTGTCCTCAGTGAACCCAGAGCAGGTTTGGGTCGGTCTCAAAGCTAACGCTAATCTCCACACGATGACATCATAGATTGGGCCGTTCTGGACGTCTTAAAACAGTAAAAGTTTTAGTTTTAGACATATTTGTGCGTACGGTCTCTTTACTTAGCCGCTGTGTCCCAGAGCCTCATGCTAACGTGTTCAGATGTAAACAAACAACTGTAGAACTATTTATGATGCTACAGTCACAGATTCTTCTTGATTTCAGTAAAGAATAATTGTTTTTATCTGGTGCTGTGTGCTTCTCATTCTACTGTTCTGTAGCTGTTGATGCAACACTGACATTAGCCCGTCCGTCTGTGGGAGCGGATCCTTTCTCAAACCATGGTCTCCCCGAGGTTTCTCACTTTTCCCCACTGGGTTTTCTCATGAGTTGTTCCTCTGATGCTGGAGTCTGTTGGACAGTTAGTGTCAGACTAGAAGGACTGTGATGATCAGGACACTTTAACATTCTACATGTATGACATTTATCACATGTGTTCTATATTCTTCATTTGTTTTAACTGTTGATTCTCTGACCTGTGTTGGTGATTTCAATGGTTTTGTTAAGTCTCTGAGATGATACTGTTGTGACCTAGGGCTATACAACAATAAGTTGTTGTTGTTGTTTCCTGACAGTGGAACCAATAGATTCAGTTCAATGTATTTGTATAATACATCACAACATTAGTTTCTCAGAGGACTTTACAAAACTGATGAATTCATCATCACAGATCAGAGATTCAGACTGTCGTGAGGAGGTGCAGTGAAAGGAGGTGCAGTGGGAGGAGGTGCAGTGAAAGGAGGTACAGTGGGAGGAGGTGCAGTGAAAGGAGGTGCAGTGAAAGGAGGTGCAGTGGGAGGAGGTGCAGTGGGAGGAGGTGCAGTAAAAGGAGGTGCAGTAGGAGGAGGTGCAGTGAAAGGAGGTGCAGTGAAAGGAGGTGCAGTGGGAGGAGGTGCAGTGGGAGGAGGTGCAGTAGGAGGAGGTGCAGTGAAAGGAGGTGCAGTGAAAGGAGGTGCAGTGGGAGGAGGTGCAGTAAAAGGAGGTGCAGTAGGAGGAGGTGCAGTGAAAGGAGGTGCAGTGGGAGGAGGTGCACCTCCTGCAGGTGGAGCACGTTGAGCTGGGAGAGCTTGTCCTGGAGCAGGGATGGGAGGATGGTGTTGAAGCAGAGCTGAAGTCCACGAACAGGACCCTGGCGTAGGTCCCGTGGAGTCTGCGGATCTGTTGGCTCTGGTTCTGATCCCTGTCTCTCCTCTTCCCTCACACAGAGACTGGACAGGGTCGGTCTCGCTCTGATCCCTGTCTCTCCTCTTCCCTCACACAGAGACTGGACAGGGTCGGTCTCGCTCTGATCCCTGTCTCTCCTCTTCCCTCACACAGAGACTGGACAGGGTCGGTCTCGCTCTGATCCCTGTCTCTCCTCTTCCCTCACACAGAGACTGGACAGGGTCGGTCTCGCTCTGATCCCTGTCTCTCCTCTTCCCTCACACAGAGACTGGACAGGGTCGGTCTCGCTCTGATCCCTGTCTCTCCTCTTCCCTCACACAGAGACTGGACAGGGTCGGTCTCGCTCTGATCCCTGTCTCTCCTCTTCCCTCACACAGAGACTGGACAGGGTCGGTCTCGCTCTGATCCCTGTCTCTCCTCTTCCCTCACACAGAGACTGGACAGGGTCGGTCTCGCTCTGATCCCTGTCTCTCCTCTTCCCTCACACAGAGACTGGACAGGGTCGGTCTCGCTCTGATCCCTGTCTCTCCTCTTCCCTCACGCAGAGACTGGACAGGGTCGGTCTCGCTCTGATCCCTGTCTCTCCTCTTCCCTCACACAGAGACTGGACAGGGTCGGTCTCGCTCTGATCCCTGTCTCTCCTCTTCCCTCACACAGAGACTGGACAGGGTCGGTCTCGCTCTGATCCCTGTCTCTCCTCTTCCCTCACACAGAGACTGGACAGGGTCGGTCTCGCTCTGATCCCTGTCTCTCCTCTTCCCTCACACAGAGACTGGACAGGGTCGGTCTCGCTCTGATCCCTGTCTCTCCTCTTCCCTCACACAGAGACTGGACAGGGTCGGTCTCGCTCTGATCCCTGTCTCTCCTCTTCCCTCACACAGAGACTGGACGGGTCGGTCTCGCTCTGATCCCTGTCTCTCCTCTTCCCTCACACAGAGACTGGACAGGGTCGGTCTCGCTCTGATCCCTGTCTCTCCTCTTCCCTCACACAGAGACTGGACAGGGTCGGTCTCGCTCTGATCCCTGTCTCTCCTCTTCCCTCACACAGAGACTGGACAGGGTCGGTCTCGCTCTGATCCCTGTCTCTCCTCTTCCCTCACACAGAGACTGGACAGGGTCGGTCTCGCTCTGATCCCTGTCTCTCCTCTTCCCTCACACAGAGACTGGACAGGGTCGGTCTCGCTCTGATCCCTGTCTCTCCTCTTCCCTCACACAGAGACTGGACAGGGTCGGTCTCGCTCTGATCCCTGTCTCTCCTCTTCCCTCACACAGAGACTGGACAGGGTCGGTCTCGCTCTGATCCCTGTCTCTCCTCTTCCCTCACACAGAGACTGGACAGGGTCGGTCTCGCTCTGATCCCTGTCTCTCCTCTTCCCTCACACAGAGACTGGACAGGGTCGGTCTCGCTCTGATCCCTGTCTCTCCTCTTCCCTCACACAGAGACTGGACAGGGTCGGTCTCGCTCTGATCCCTGTGACAGGGTGGGACGCTCCACCGCCTCAGTCCAGAGACAACATCAGAGTCTTCTTCACAGAGAGGAAGAGGAGGCTCGTGGCAGCACGGTGGCTGAGTGGTTAGCACTCTCGCCTCTCAGCAAGAAGGTCCTGGGTTCGAATCCCGGCCGGACCAGGGCCTTTCTGAGTGGAGTTTGCATGTTCTCCCCGTGTCTGCGTAGGTTTCCTCCGGGTGCTCCGGTTTCCCCTACCACTAAAAATATGTACAATAGGTCTGGCATTCGCCTCCTGTTCTGGCCCCGCTCCATCTCTGTGTGGAGTGAGAGACAAATGCCCAAAAAATAATAAAAATAAATAAATAATAACAATTGTAAACCGCTTTGTGACTCTGGTCTGTGAAAGGCGGTATATAAATAAAGCTTACTTACTTACTCCACCAACACAGGACTAGACAGACACCGAGAGGAGACTGAACCAGGACTTTGTTAGCGGATCACAGAGGTCTGGTACAGGACTGAACCAGCACTGAACCAGCACTGAACCAGCACTGAACCAGCACTGAACCAGGACTGAACCAAGACTCAACCAGGACTGAGCCAGGAATGAACCAGGACTGAGCCAGGACTGAGCCAGGAATGAACCAGGACTGAACCAAGACTGAACCAAGACTGAACCAGGACTGAACCAAGACTGAACCAGGACAATTGTATTCTATTTAAAAATTGCAGTTTTTTTGCCTTTTGGGCGAGTGGTTAGTACTCCGGGTCGTCACAGAAGCCTTTTCTAACTGGAGTTTGCATGTTCTCCCCGTGTGCAGCCAGGACTCCCAGTCCCTGGCAAAAGAGACTTGGGGATCTCAGCGGGACTATCCTGCCTAAACGAGGGTCAATAACATCAAAAATGGTTGTATTTAGGGAAAGATTCTCAATCCCACCACTTTTAATAATACTAATAATAATAACATTGAAACAATAATAACATTATTCTTTTATTAAGTCCTCTGTTTGTTCTGCACTCGTGACGTTCCCATCTTTAAATACAGAGCAATGTTTCTGTAATAAATGGTTCTTGAACATTTTCCCTTGTTCCTGTCTCCATTTGTCCGGAGGAGCTGAACGTCCCCGGGACTAAAATATGTGCATTATGTTCTATATGCTCACAAGGATTATGGAAATGTGTTTGATATTGTGTGTTAGCTTTGTCAGGCTAAAGCAGTAAACACGGATGACTGTAGGAAGTCCTTTCACTGTGGTTTAGACTCTGACACAGCGGAGGGTCGTGGTTCCACTGGGTTTGGGACTGGTTCTGTGCAGATACAGGAGGTTCTAAGCGGACTGATGATCCAGGACATTTTATTATGAACCCAGTGCCTTCAGTGTTTTGTTGCTCCACCCGTCAGTGTCTGTGTTTGGAGCCGGGCGGAGTCACTGCTGCTGCGGCCTCTCCACACCTGCTTCCCTTCACCTCTTACCTCCAAAGTTACAGCCTCGGTCCTTCAGTCTCAGCCAGTCTCTGCCAGTCTCTGCCAGTCTCTGCCAGTCTCTTCCAGTCTCTGCCAGTCTCTGCCAGTCTCTGCCAGTCTCTTCCAGTCTCTGCCAGTCTCTGCCAGTCTCTGCCAGTCTCTGCCAGTCTCTTCCAGTCTCTGCCAGTCTCTTCCAGTCTCTTTCAGTCTCGTTCAGTCTCTTCCAGTCTCTGCCAGTCTCTGCCAGTCTCTGCCAGTCTCTTCCAGTCTCTGCCAGTCTCTTCCAGTCTCTTCCAGTCTCTGCCAGTCTCTGCCAGTCTCTTTCAGTCTCTGCCAGTCTCTTCCAGTCTCTGCCAGTCTCTGCCAGTCTCTGCCAGTCTCTGCCAGTCTCTGCCAGTCTCTGCCAGTCTCTTCCAGTCTCTTTCAGTCTCTGCCAGTCTCTGCCAGTCTCTTCCAGTCTCTGCCAGTCTCTGCCAGTCTCTGCCAGTCTCTGCCAGTCTCTTCCAGTCTCTGCCAGTCTCTGCCAGTCTCTTCCAGTCTCTTTCAGTCTCGTTCAGTCTCTTCCAGTCTCTTCCAGTCTCTTCCAGTCTCTTCCAGTCTCTTCCAGTCTCTTTCAGTCTCGTTCAGTCTCTTCCAGTCTCTGCCAGTCTCTGCCAGTCTCTGCCAGTCTCTGCCAGTCTCTTTCAGTCTCGTTCAGTCTCTTCCAGTCTCTGCCAGTCTCTTCCAGTCTCTTCCAGTCTCTTCCAGTCTCTGCCAGTCTCTTCCAGTCTCTTCCAGTCTCTTCCAGTCTCTTCCAGTCTCTTCCAGTCTCTGCCAGTCTCTTCCAGTCTCTTCCAGTCTCTGCCAGTCTCTTCCAGTCTCTTTCAGTCTCGTTCAGTCTCAGATCGTCCGTTATCTTTGTGGCTCTAAATGTTTTATTTTTAGAAACCTTTTTGATACAAACCCATTCTCACTTGTTGCAGTCGCCGGTGCAGCTCCAGAGAGATGGTCCGCTGACTGTGCAGAGAGATAGGAGTCATTTAGGGCAGACTTTATGTTTGCATTTTCTACTTGTGTCTGTGTAGGTTTCCTCCGGGTGCTCCAGTTTTCCTTACCATTAACACATGCACAATAGGTCAATCTTCCAGCAGAGGCATGAGGGTCAAATGTAGAGGACGAATAGCCCTACGTATTATAGGGTCTCTCACGACTCTCCTTCTTCACCTTCTTCCTGTTTCTTTCTCGCTCTTCATCTTCATCCTTTTCTTCCTTCTCCTCCCGATCTTCCTCTCGTTCTTCCCATTCTCGCACCTCTGCTCTTATGAAGTTGTCATGTGTGAGTTGTGTTGGCCCTGGTTTGACACGGGCCCCGGTGCTCGCCGTGGCGTGAGTCCAGGGAGGCGGCGGCGGTGGCTTTAATCAATGAGCGCTTGGACACGGGGCATAAGTCCGGAATCATCGTCGCGGAAACAGAAAAACAGGAAAACCAGGAGCGAGAGGGCAGCGAAGTGTGCTGTGATTACTGTAAGTCTATTCTTACGCCTGTTTCTGCTCCGACCTCAGCACCAGAGCAGTCACTTTGACGGATTTTAGATTTGACTTCATAAACATTTATGGTTTCAATTATGTCAATATTTTCATGAAAGAATCAATTCTTTTTTAAGTTCTATCTTTAGCTTCATTCATTTTAATGTAAAATCCAAATGGTCCAAGGTCCTAGTTTCTGCTTTTTGGTTCTGGACTGGTCTAGGACTGGTTCTGGACTGGTTCCTGACTGGTCCTGATTCTGAGCCGAGTCAGCTCAGTTTTCCACCAGAGAAGTGCAAGTCCTAGTTACCATAGCAACACACTGTTTACTTACAGCAGTTAGCCTTTAGCCTTTAGCATTAGCTTTTCAACAAACAGTTTCTTAGCACTTAGTAAACCTGAATAAAGGTACATTTGTAATAACTCTGGACGACGTAAGTGGTTTGAATGTCAGCAGAGTGGAAATAACATTGTTTGTTATCTCAGCAAGAAGGTCGTGGGTTCGAATCCCACAGTGCTTTTCTGAGTGGAGTTTGCATGTTCTCCCCGTGCCTGCGCGGGTTTCCTGCGGGTGCTCCGGTTTCCCCTACCACTAAAAACATGCACAATAGGTCTGAATGTAAATGAGAGAGTGAATGGATGGTGTTGGGTCAGAGGCTTTGATGGTCCAGTGTGTTCTGGACTCGCTTCTGTCATCACCGTGTGTGGAAGGATTGGAACAATATCTGACTCTGAACATTGGAAAGTGCTTTGGGTCTGTACCTTTGGGTCTGTACCTTTGGGTCTGTACCTTTGGGTCTGTACCTTGGTCTGTACCTTTGGGTCTGTGCCTTGGGCTGTACCTTTGGGTCTGTGCCTTGGGCTGTAACATGTGCTATATAAATAAATATTACTTACTTACTAAAGAGCAGACAGAAGCATTCTATGTCTTCAATGTCTACAGCTCTGAATCACAGCAGCAGGACTTTATAAAGCTGTCGATTCCTCAACAACAGATCAGAAAATCAAACAGATTCACAGAAAATGCAATAATAACAAACTCAGAGCATTTGTCCAAAGTGAGATCAGTGAAGTTTATCTTAGAGCCACCGGACCATAGACCACTGTCCCAAGAGGTTCTGAAACGTCCTGAAATGTCTTCTCTACGGCGGACTTGCTCCTCACTCGGTCACATGGTCGTTGTGTTTCCAGATCCACCGCTGCGTCTTAAACACACAACGCTTTGACAGCGTTCAGCTCTCGCCACGCTGCTCCTCATTCTCATTTCTGTTTCTGTTTCAGCGCTTCACATTTCGCGGCCGACTTCAGACGTACATTCAATTCCGATCCGGCTCCCTCGCCTCTCCCCTCTCTCTCCTCTCTCTCTCCCTCTCCCCTCTCTCTCCCCCTCTCCCTCTCCCTCCCCTCTCTCTCTCCCCCTCTCCCTCCCCTCTCTCTCCCCCTCTCCCTCCCCCCTCTCTCCCCCTCTCCCCTCTCTCTCCCCCTCTCCCTCCCCCTCTCCCTCCCCCTCTCTCCCTCCCCCCTCTCTCCCCCTCTCCCTCCCCCCTCTCTCCCTCTCTCTCCCCCTCTCTCTCCCCCTCTCCCTCCCCCCTCTCTCTCCCCCCTCTCCCTCTCCCTCTCCCTCCCCCCTCTCTCCCCCTCTCCCTCCCCCCTCTCTCCCCCTCTCCCTCCCCCCTCTCTCCCCCTCTCCCTCCCCCCTCTCCCTCTCTCTCCCTCTCCCTCCCCCTCTCCCTCCCCCCCTCTCCCCCCTCTCTCCCCCTCTCCCTCCCCCCTCTCTCCCCCTCTCCCTCCCCCCTCTCTCCCCCTCTCTCCCCCTCTCCCTCCCTCCCCCCTCTCTCCCCCCTCTCCCCCCCTCTCTCCCCCTCTCCCTCCCCCCCTCTCTCCCCCTCTCTCCCCCTCTCCCTCCCCCCCTCTCTCCCCCTCTCTCCCCCTCTCCCTCCACTCTCCACCCTCCACTCTCTGTCTGTGTCTGTCTGTGTCTGTCTGTGTCTGTCTGTGTCTGTCTGTGTCTGTGTGTGTGTGTATTTCTCCCCCTCTCCCTCCCTCCCCCCTCTCTCCCCCTCTCCCTCCCCCTCTCTCCCCCTCTCTCCCCCTCTCCCTCCCCCCTCTCTCCCCCTCTCTCCCCCTCTCCCTCCCCCCTCTCCCCCCCTCTCTCCCCCTCTCCCTCCCCCCTCTCTCCCCCTCTCCCTCCCCCCCTCTCCCATCGCTCTCAGACTCAGGATTCCATGTATAATTAGTGAAATCATTACAGTTTCTGCGGGAGCTCGGAGCCTGTCGGAGTATTTTGGGACTGGCTGCGTCGCTCAATCCGAAATCTCTCTCTCTGTCTTTTTGTTTTTCGATCCGAGACGTTGGAGCTGGAACGACACGACGGGAAATCCGACAGAGAAGCGTTTCAACAGAGACAGAAATGTGGATACAGTAGAAACACTGATATCACCGACAATCACGGCGTGTAACCGGCTCAGAGAACAAGACTGGGACAAGTTATTATTTGTTATTTAAAATGTCTGTTATCACTATTTATTTATCTGGCACAGTCCATACACAGCTCAATGTGCGGAACTTAAAGGGATAGAACTAAGATAAAAAATGATCAAAGTGCATTAGGATATAGTAGAGATACAATCGTGAAGTTGTAGCACAGCTGAACATTGTCAGAGAAGAGGCCCGTCTAGTGTTTTCAGGAAGACTTTGGCAGCAAGAAAATGAAATGTGGGACCATCTGGGGCCAGCAGGAGGCCAGTCCCTGTGCTCCTCAGAGGCCAGTCCCTGTGCTCCTCAGAGGCCAGTCCCTGTGCTCCTCAGAGGCCGAGCTGGCTCTCATGGCACTAACAGCACTACACTCCTAAGCCTCTGCTCTCACATGGCTGCCTTTAAACAGTGATTTAAATTCAAACTTGCCTTTCAGCTTGTGCAGCAACCCTCCTCCTTCATCTTCACAACAGTCGGACAATCTCTCTTCATGTCTTTCATCTTTTGTGTTCCAGAATTTTATCTCAGTGTTTCAGCCGACGCCAATTCCACTCAGAGTCCTTCAGCAGCTACAAAAACAAAAACTAGACCATGGACTCGGAGAGAGCATACCCCGCCAACTTCATGGACTCGGAGAGAGCATACCCCGCCAACTTCATGGACTCGGAGAGAACATACCCCGCCAACTTCATGGACTCGGAGAGAGCATACCCCGCCAACTTCATGGACTCGGAGAGAGCATACCCCGCCAACTTCATGGATCATCTAGATTGACTTTCTACTGGAGTCTTCTGGGGCCTTTGACATCACTCGAGGATTGGGATGAAATTTTGACTTTTTAAATTCATTGTAAATCCACACGTCTGTAGCTGAACTGAACCAGGACTGAACCAGGACCAGAACTGAACTGAACCAGGACCAGAACTTGTCATGGTGTGGGTTTCATTTCAGTTTTGCTTCGTGTCCTGTTCCTTGTTGATTGTCTGCCCCGCCCTGATGTGTCTGTCTGTGTCTGTCTGTGTCTGTCTGTGTGTGTCTGTGTCTGTCTGTGTCTGTGTATTTTGAGTTTTGTTTTTCTCTGGACTTTTATTTTATTAAATCATTATTATGGCATTCCTGCTTTTTGGGTCCTCATTCAATTCACCACGTGACAGGGTGTTTGGTCGGAGGCTTTGATGAACCAATATCCAAACTCTGAACTTTGTAAAGTGCTGTGAGAGACCTCTATAAAATGCACTATATAAATAAACAGGCCTAAATATTGAGGTCCCAGTCTGATAAGTTTGGACACCCCTGCTGCAGTCGTCCCAAACCCGGGATGTACCAACAGGCGAGAGCAGGGTCTGTTTCTGAGAGAAGAATACTTTACTGACAACGTGTGAGTAAGAAAGGAGGAAGTGGAATCCGTGCGTTTCCAGCCTCAAACACTCGTGATGCAGCGTGAGCAGAATAATTGTATCTAGAGGCGGGACGCGCTTAAAATAGTGCGAGAGGTGAAGTCTGCGGCGCTTACATAAACACGTTCAATATGGGATTGGTTTAGTCCTCATTTACGTTACACTTTAGTCAGTGCTTAATTTGTAAATCATAAGGTGCCGGAACGCAAAGTACACAATGACAGAGCAGGTAAACGAAACCAATACAAGTGCCGGAACGTACAAAAGACGTTGTTGAAAACAACATTCAAATGCCCACTTGCCTTGCTGTGGGACTTACAGCTAAAATCCATACTTAATAATATATATTATACAATAGTTAGGCTATAGGTTACTCTGCACAACACAGGCAAATGCCCACTTCACCGCGGTGGGACTTGCAGAATACAGTCAGAAATTAATTCCTCAACAAAATCAGAGCTTACAATAAATCACACAAATCTTCCAATTATTATTTAAAAGTTGGCACGGCGGCCTATTAATAGTATGCTTACCTATTTAGTTGTCCAAAATGCTCCACAACACGAGCAGGTCCGGATTATTCTCCTTCTCTCTGTTTCGGGTTTTACTGCACGTATCCGTGGCAGTTCTGTGTCCTTTGGTCACCCACGACCTCACGTACGGGACTGGGTTGAATTTAGCCAGGGGAGGTCCAACAAGATTTAGGAAGAGTAACGATGATATTGTGGTTATGAGCAGAGAGCCACGGTGGGGAGTGCAAATCAAGTTCATTTGAGAAAATCCCCGCTCACATTCAGCACTTGCAATGGGAATGCTGTTGACAGCAGTAAATAACTCAATCAGTTCATCAGGCGTGTCGTGTCCATCTGAGTCTCTGTACTTTCTGTAGGCCCGTATGACTGCGCGTGGGTCAGATATATTAAAGCGCTGACACAGTGACTCAACCTCAGTCTCTCCATAAAGCGCACCTGCGTCCTCGGGCCAATACTGCGCATAAAGCACCTTCAACTCCTCAATGAACTTGTTATATCCCGTTTTGTCTGGTACCCGGCCTCCTTGGGATAACATCCGATTCTCCAGGTTCTTGGCCACAGCTTGGAAAAATGGCTTGGCGTCCAGTGTTTTGTCGCTTGATTTTCCTTCATTTAGTGTAATTCCTTGGAAAGAGTTTTCCTCAATTCCTCTTTGGCTCAGTACAGTGTAGCGCCCTGGCCTATCTGACAATGCCTCAAACACCCTGATTTCACGACATATTGTTTTGTGGGCTGAAATGATTGTAATGTCTCGTTTTTGAAGCTCTACTGAGAGCTCAGATAATTCTTGCAACGCGTCGCACATTATGCCTAAATTGTTCACAAACGCATGTGAAGATAAACGCATAGCAAGTCCGCTGTATGTTTGTTTTGCGATGCTATCACGGGAGGAATCTTCAGATGCAGTTCTGAAATGTTTGTAAAGTGCTGGATAGTTCTTCCACACTGCATCAACGGTTCTAAAACTTGATGCTACCCATCTAGTGTCTAAAATCCGACCTATTTTGCATAGTTGGATATCTAGGCTCTCAGCAGACTCTCTCAGCTCTATTCTGTTTTTGTTAGATGTGTTATACAATGAATATAACTTGTCCATCAATATTTTAAAGTGATTTATAGCGCCCATCTCTTTCACTACGTCTGAGACTGCGAGCTCAAGCCTGTGCGCTGCGCAGTGCCACAGAGTAATGCTGGGGAAAATGGCCTGGAGCCGGGTCGCTACTCCGCTTTTACGTCCCAACATAACAGAAGCACCATCACAAGTAACACCAATGAGGGTTCGAGAGAGAAAATCCTGGGTCAAATGCAGGCGCTCCAGAGCAATTAATAGTTTGTTGACAATACCTAGAGCAGTTAGATCGTCGAGCTCCACAAGTTCAGTGAAAATGTTTGTGGGCTTGTCCATATCAGGTAACTGAGCTCTAATGTATATGATCAAACAGCTCTTCTTGCTTAAACTGGTTGACTCATCCAGCATTAGACTGAGTTTGGGTGCGCACTGTACTATCTTTTCAAACGGTTTCTTTTTCATTTCATCGGAAATATGTTTCTGTATGTTTGCACATGCAACATTGGAGTGTAAAATCCTCCCCATATCGAGTCCATTTAACTCTTGGCAATCAATCTCATGTTCGAAGCCATATGCGGGACGGTTGCGTTTAGCCTCCTTGTATGCCGTGCGAAAGACGCGAGCTGTCTTAGTCATCTGTTCAGACAGACTATTAATTATAGACTGTCCTAAAGTGTCTTCTTTAGCCTTCTCAAGAATACTTGCTGCTGCTAGGTGAGCTTTGGTACGGGCATGTTCAAAGACTTTTTTTCTGAGCGCGCGTTGCTGTTTTTTAATATCAGAAGAAGATGAGGCCACTGTACTTGACTCCCACTCTTTAGCAAGTTTCATTCCTCCCGTTTTCTCCGGCCCCAAAGTCCCCACCGTCTTACAAATTGTGCAGCCCAAACCAGAACTGTCCATAAGAAGCCAGGGGTAGTAACTCTGCTTCACCTTGAACTGAGCAGCAGTCCAAACAGTTGCGCATCCCCCTGACCTGTCGCTGGATGAACCACATTCCTCTCCGCTCAGTGCGCGCTCCTCTCCTTCTGACGCTTCATGAAAGAAGCGCGTTGATGTCGTGGTTCCCGCCTCTTGCTGCTGTACTTGGCTAGCTGATATCTCCATACTGGCCTCTTGCTCCGGTTGTTGGTGGGGGTCCACATGATGGCTGATCGGGTGCGCTGTATCTGCCCTCCACTCAGGCGGGCTATGAACCAGGTCACCTGTTGCGGGGCTAGCCTCTTCCTCCTGGTCACTAGCATCGCCACTTGCTGCTTTCCTCACTCGTTTAGTAGCATCATGCGACTTGTCCGTCTTCTTGAAAAAAGACATAAGATTCAATTGTCTTTTTGACATGTTTGCGCTGAAACTCCGTATATTCCTCTCTCTTGGTCAGTTGGTCAATTCGGTCCTCGCGGTAAACATCCCAGACGCGGCAAACCTTACTTTCTGTGAGGGGCGTGGTTTGATCCCGACTCTCCCAAATTACGTTAAATTTGAGTAGAGAACATGAAATTTGTTGGATTTATTCTTTAAATTAATATAATAATTTTTTCTTATGTATTTTCAGACTTTTTAAAATTATGATTTTGAATATTTATATTAGAGGTGACGGATCTGCCCAAATAAGTCCCGGAACACGTAGAGGCCAAAATCAATAGGTGCCGGATCCTGTTCCGGCAGGATCCGGCACAAATTAACCACTGACTTTAGTCCTGTCCTGGTTCAGCTCAGTTCAGTTCTGGTCCTGGTTCAGCTCAGTTCTGTCATGTGGAGAAATGAATAAAAAGGGAACCCAAAATATAGGACTGAAAATCAAATGTGATTTAATGAAATCAAAATCCAGAGAGACAAAAAGCACTAAAATCCAGAACTGAAAAACCAGACAAGACAAACATGGCAGAGACAATGGACAACAAGTGGGAACAGCACAGGGTATAGATACACACAGGAGACACAGGTGGGTCACATTAGGGCGGGGCTAACAATCAACACAACAGACAGGAATCAGACTCAAAATACAAGAGAAAAAAATAAAGTCAATAAAACAAGGTTAAAATAATCCGATAAGTCCACACCATGACACACCCTCCAGTCACTCGTTACATTCAGACTATTGTACATGTTTTCAGTGGTGGGAGAAATAGGAGCACCTGGAGGAAACCTAAGCAGACATGGGGAGAACATGCAAGGTCCTGTTTGGTTGGCACCTCTTCGGGCCGTGAGCCTCTGGTCCTGGATCGGTCCCGGTCCAGGTTTGTGGCAGAGACCTACTTTCACTGGAGCTGAGGATTTTCTCTTCTTCTTCTTTTCTGTGATCGCGGCTCAGAGAGTGTTTGGAGCCGGGCTGGGTTTTATGGTTTAGGGATTCCCCAGGGCTCAGAGAGAAGTGGCTGAGGTGAGGGGCGGGACTCTCTTTCAGGGATTAAAACTGAGCACGTCGAAAACCATGTGAGTGAGCGGAGGTTATGAGGCGGCGGAGGAGAAAGTGCCGTCTCCAAAGAACTCACATCATTGATTATAAAACGCCTTATATGTTACTTATGCTGCATTCTGGGGCAGGCTTTGACAGAATCAGGTCTGCTGCTGGTGCCACAGCCGCTCACTCACACGGCACAGGCTTTGGTTTCTGTGGTGTTAGACGAAAGCGGAGCACCTGGAGGAAACCCACGGAAGCACAGGAAGAACATGCAAACCAGAAACTAGACGTGTTTGGGAAGGTTTGGTCTGAGAGGGAGATCTGAGAGTTGGTGAGTAATGTAAGATGTTGTTAGATTATGTGTAACAATAAACTCAACCTGCGACCCGGCAACGGATGAAGCGGAAGAAAATGGAATGACAGTGGCTCAGTTGTAGAGCGTTGGAAAACCGTGAATCAGCATTATCTGACGGCTGAGACAGAGACAATCCTAAACTGGGATAAAGCAGAAAAAAATAATGAACTTCTTTTTTTAATTTTCAAAGGCAAGGCAAGGCAAGGCAAGTTTATTTGTATAGCACAATTCATACACAAGGCAACTCAAAGTGCTGAACAAGATAGCATTAAAATCATAAATAATCACAGAACATTAAAAAGAAAGATAAAAATATAAAATCCCTCAGTTGTATGCACAGCTAAACAGCACAGTTTTTAACTTGGTTTTAAACATAGTCAGAGAGGAGGCCTGTCTCACATCTTCAGGAAGAATGTTCCAGATTTTAGCAGCATGAATCTGAAAAGCAGCCTCCCCATGTTTAGTTCTGACTCTGGGCACTAACAGGAGTCCAGTCCCTGTGCTCCTCAGAGTCCGGGCTGGTTCATATGGGACTAACATGTCACTAATATATTTTGGTGCGAGGCCATGGAGAGACTTGTAACAAGCAAAGCTGTTTTAAAGTCTATTCTCTGAGCCACAGGAAGCCAGTGCAGAGACCTGAGGACCGGACTAATATGGTCGTACTTCCTGGTTCTAGTCAGGACTAATGTGGTCGTACTTCCTGGTTCTAGTCAGGACTAATGTGGTCGTACTTCCTGGTTCTAGTCAGGACTAATGTGGTCGTACTTCCTGGTTCTAGTCAGGACTAATGTGGTCGTACTTCCTGGTTCTAGTCAGGACCAATATGGTCGTACTTCCTGGTTCTAGTCAGGACTCGAGCTGCTGCATTTTGAATGTACTGCAGCTGTTTTACAGCCTGTTTGGACAGACCTGTGAGCAGGCCATTGCAGTAGTCCAACCTACTGGAGACAAATGCATGGATAAGAATCTCCAAGTCTGCTTTAGACACTATGTTTTTGATCCTGGAAATGTTTTTTAGATGGTAAAAAGCTGCTGATGTTACTGATTTGATGTGGCTATTAAAATTTAAGTCTGAGTCCAGTATTACCCCTAGATTTCTGACCTTGTTTGAAGGTTTTAGGGAGAGAGACTGTAGGTGACAGATGACGCTCTCTCTTTGTTTCTGGGGACCAAAGACAATCATTTCAGTTTTGTCTGCGTTTAGCTGAAGGAAGTTGTTTTGCATCCACTCACTGATCTGTTGGATACAGTGAAGGAGTGAGTCCACTGGTCCATGTTCTCCTGCAGTCAGTGAGACATAGATCTGAGTGTCATCTGCATAGTTATGATAGGAAACTTTGTTTCTGCGTATTAACTGACCTAACGGCAGCATGTAGAGATTGAAAAGAAGAGGTCCCAGGATCGACCCCTGTGGTACTCCACAGGTTAGGGCCATATGATCTGAGACACAGTTTCCAATCTCCACAAAGTACTTCCTGTCTTCAAGGTAAGACCTAAACCAACTTAGGGCGGTGCCAGCGACGCCAACCCAGTCCTCTAGTCTCTGTAAGAGGATTTCATGGTCGACAGTGTCAAAGGCAGCACTTAGATCTAACAAGATTAGGATTGAGACTTTGCCTGCGTCAGTGCTTAGCCGGATATTGTTTGTAACCTTGACGAGAGCAGTCTCAGTGCTGTGGTGGAGTCTAAAGCCGGACTGAAACATATCAAATGAGTTGTTGATTATAAGAAATCTATTTAGCTGTTGGTAGACAACTTTTTCAAGGACTTTCCCCATAAATGGCAGATTTGAGATGGGACGGTAGTTGTTAAGTACCGTAGCATCCAGACTGCTCTTTTTTAGCAGGGGCCTGATGACTGCAGTTTTCAGGGCCTTTGGGAATATTCCAGAATGAAGGGACATGTTTACTATCTGTGTGAGTGAAGGTAAGAGACTGCTCAGAACAGACTTTAGAAATCTAGTGGGTAGTACATCCAGGCTGCATGTGGAGGAGCTCAGACTGGAGATTATCTCTTGGACAGTTTGATCATTTACAAGTGCAAAGTGAGTTAGCTCAGAGAGCCTTTCTGGCTGTTGGATGGTTATCTGTGGATTGGAGACAATGGCGTTTTTGATGCCTTGAACCTTGTCATTGAAAAAATGTGCAAACTCATTACATTTACGTTTGGAAGTTAGCTCTAATGGCATCTGAACAGGGGGGTTTGTTAATCTATTAACTGTTGAAAACAGAACACGCAGATTGTTGCTGCAGCCTTCAATCATTTCAGAAAAATACCTTTCTCTCGTACTACGTAGCACCTGGTTAAACTCGCACAACTTATCTTTGAAGATCTCGTAATCAACCTGGAGGTTGGACTTGCGCCACTTCCGCTCGGCCCTCCGGCACTCTCTCTTTTGTGCCCTGACCGAGTCTGCTTTAGCCCACGGCGCCTTCTGCTTATTTTTCACTGTTTTAACCTTCACAGGAGCAATGGTGTCCAGAACATTCAAAACACTAGAGGTGACAGAGTTAAACAGTTCATCTACAGTAGAATACGATGCATTCTCAAAGTTTATCATTCCCATAAATAGTTCACCCGTATTTTCATTTATGTGTCTTCTTCGTACAGTTGCAGAGTCCACTGGTGGTTTGTTAGTGAAACACATGTCAAAAAATACACAAAAATGATCCGAAAGCGCAACATCGACCACGTTTACATTTGAAATATTCACCCCCTTAGTAACTAACAGGTCTAGAGTGTGCCCTCTGCTGTGGGTGGGGCCACTCACATGCTGAGTGAGACCAAAAGATTCAAGAACAGAACTCAGCTCTTTTGCCCTTCTGTCAATAACATTATCCACATGAATATTAAAATCCCCTGTAATAATCAAGCTATCAAACATTACATTTTGTCTAAAACACATTGATCTACTTTTTTTTGAAAAAAGTCTGTCTCACTGATCGTTTTTAAATCTGCGGTTCACAGCTGTTTGTGATCCAGGTGTTTTTGTTTCAATATGGTCTTTGTAAATCCCTGAAATGATAAAACCTTCAGTCTCAGTCCCAGAATTAGGCTTTAGCTTGTTTGAGTAACGACAGCTCTCTGCTCCTGATTGCCCCTTTGGTTGCTAGGTCGTTGCTAGGTCGTTGCTAGGTCGTTGCTAGGTCGTTGCTAGGTCGTTAGTAGGTTGTTGCTAGGTCGTTGGTAGGTCGTTGCTAGGTCGTTGCTCGGTCGTTGCTCGGTCGTTGGTAGGTCGTTGCTCGGTCGTTGGTAGGTCGTTGGTAGGTCGTTGCTCGGTCGTTGCTCGGTTGTTGCTAGGTTGTTGGTAGGTCGTTGGTAGGTCGTTGCTCGGTCGTTGCTAGGTCGTTGCTAGGTCGTTGCTAGGTTGTTAGTAGGTTGTTGCTAGGTCGTTGGTAGGTCGTTGCTCGGTCGTTGCTCGGTCGTTGCTAGGTCGTTGCTCGGTCGTTGGTAGGTCGTTGGTAGGTCGTTGGTAGGTCGTTGCTCGGTCGTTGGTAGGTCGTTGCTCGGTTGTTGGTAGGTCGTTGGTAGGTTGTTGGTAGGTCGTTGGTAGGT